TGTATGAACCCAATAACATGGGAAAGCAAAGGTCCTTTCTCAGTGCTTATCCAATTCTATTAACTAAGGGACTTCCAGCCCCGAGTAACCAAAAAATTGATCCTTTTTCCCCCATCTGTAAGTTGTATTGCTTTTGCTATAAAATTGAGAACATGCTTGTAGGAGGTATAGGGGAAGAGGAAGTTTTCTGTCAGAATATTCTAAAGAAGAATTCTGAAAGATTTTGTCGTGTAGAGCACGTGCTGGGGCTAATAGCAGTCCAGGTGAAGGTTATAAGGTAAAATGAGCTCTTTCATGTAAAATGTCAAATGGAATGCGTTGTGCTACGGCTCTCGGACAAAGGAAAAATGGTTAGAAAAATATCATGAGATAACCCTGATATTCTGTTCTTAGAAACCAGCTAAGTCTTCTGATTAAATATAGTTAGGTATTTGGGATCTTGGACAAAAAAACTGGGCTTTAATGGAAGTTTTGGCTTCTCACAATGAATTGGGTTCATTTAAAACGAGAGTTTTTCAGGTGAAAAATTGGAAGTTTGGAACAAAAAGGGTTTCTGGGCATCTGGAGGAAGTGGTTTAAATTTTTAGGTGGTTTATATGGTTTGATGATAATGGTGAAAGAGGAGTTTGAAGCATGCGACACCCTTAGAAAGGCAATTTTTTAAGTGAGATTGAAGTGTAGGTTATTATGTCGTTATAGGAAATCAATTAGAAGTCGTGGTTGAAATGAGTGAAATGATGGTAATTGTAATTCGAAGCTGCTTCTCTTAATAACCAATGCGAGACACGAGAACAATTTTATCAACTCATTTTGGCAGAGGCGGAAGCCACCTTCAACGGCTTAAAGGAATCCTGTGCATGGCTGCAACCCATAACAAGGTACTGGTTAATCTGAAGCCTTTTCTCTTACCTGGTGCCTTTGGCTTGATAAGCCTTTTGAGGTGAATGATGTAGAGCAGGCAAATTTTGAAATGAATGGGGATTAAAATTTGAGTTTCAAGTGTTCTATGTGGATTAGATTTAACAAATGTTTTGGGGGGTTTTCTTTCAAAGTAAACTGTAAATTGGAGTTCCTGTAAAACTCCACTTGCTTTGATCGGCGAAATTTAAAAAGTCCATCTTCATCTGAATCAGCATTTTTGTTTAAATGTATTGCATTTTGTGGTTGTCTTTTGTCTTTTTATTTGTTGTGAGAGGTGTGGTTGTCTAACTAGGGTGGTTTTTGGGAGGCTTGCGGAGACTGTAAATCAACTCATTTCAACAAAACTTTATCTCAACTACTTGGAGAGGCTTTATCTTCTGTTAAATAATTTTCGTTCTAATGAAGTTATCATATAACGATTTTTAAGTGCGGAAACTCATTAAGTTCAATTGTAATGATTGTAATTAACCTATTTTATTTTTTATAAGTAAATGTAAATGTATCATTTTTTGTTCATCTATTAAGACAACACTAATAAACTTGTTGAAAGTGCCCACTCAAATGTATTTTTTTGGCTCCGTCCTACATATTTATGTCTATTAAGGGGTATAAAAGTAATATATTTATATTTTAGCGCACATAATTACTTTCCTTCTATTTCTTTGGCTAATTTTAGAGGGATCAATTTTGTTGAGTAATAAGGAAAATTAGTCAACCCTAAAGGATAGGTCAAGTGATAACAAGAACGAACGATAAACACATACATCTTGAGTTCAAATTTTGATAATTTTTTGGAGGAAAATTATGATGGATTTATTCGTCATAAATGTCTAGTCCTAGCGTGGTTGACTTGTCTTTGAGTGAATTGGGGATGAAGTTAATGAATGTGATCGTAAGTTGACCAGGACATTCATAACCGTTGAACCAAAAAATAAAGAAGGAAGACTAAAAGGCCTTGTCTGGTTTGCATTTTAGAAACTGTTTTTCTATTTTTGAAAACAGTTTATTGGAGAAAAGTTGTTTGAACAACAATGTTTTGTTTTAATTATTTGAAAACTGAGAACAAAAAATGGATAGATTTAGATAATAAGTTAAGATTGTTTTGTGTTTTCAACTTTTCAAGAATTTAGAAAATACAATCACCACTACCGCCACACTTCCACCACCACCACCACCATGGTTCAAAGTTGTCGTATCAACCATAGATTCGGAAGGCATTGATACACATCAGTCGTGACTTAGTATCGATCGATCCGCTCAAACTACTAGATAGAAGCTCCAAAATTTTTTTAAAAAATTATGAAAAATTCTAAAAATATAAACATCATCATTCATGCATCATATGTCTACAATACATTCATAAACACATTAAATATAATTAAAATAAAATACAAGGACACTACCAAAAATAATTATCATTATCAATGTTTAAGGTAAGCGCTTAAGAAATATTATCATTCTTATTGTCTCTAGGATAATACAAAATTGAGATAATTTCCACCATAAGGTTAATAGTTTAGCATTTGATTTAAAATACAATACTTCAAATATTTATTTTAAAAATAAATAATTTGAATATCTAACTATTACATTAAGTGTTTTAATGATTTATTAAAAAGTAAATTTAATCTGAGTAAACTTGGGTAAAAAGTGAACAAAAAAACCAATTACCCACAAATAAAATAAATTAACCACTCTCAGTAAAATAAAATTAACCACACTTCAATAAATTACTCACACTAAGTAAATTAAATTAATCATATTTAAGTTAATAAATTAACCGTAGTCAAATAGTTTCTAATAGACTGGGTTACTCGGTTTGCTATTGTGGGTCTGATAGAGACTCTCAAAGGAGCGAGAGAGAGAAGGGGGGGGGGGGGCGAGACTCTCAAACCAAAGAGAGAGACGCGAAAGACAAGAGACGAGAGGTGAGAGATCACTAGAGACAAACAGAGAAGAACAGAAGGAGTCAGGGGTTGTTCGAGACTTTGAGTAGTCATGGTCGGGCAACCTAGGATTTTTGCAATTGATTTGCGATTTGTAATCGTGAATGAAGATGCTAGGCTTTTGCTGTGAAGAAGAAGAAGAAAGAGAAAAGGAAGAACAAAGCCTACTAATTGTTGTGCAAATGAAAAAAGAAGAAAGAAAGACAGTTATGCCTTCAATTTTAAGGTATGTCTTCTGTAAATCTGAGTCTCATTTTTTGCTTTATTTATTATCCCTCTTTTTTCTTTACTTTGGTCTTTTTTTTTTTTTTGCATTTTGTCTTTCAATTTTGAAAGAATTTTATCATATATGTTCGAGTCTGATATGATTCATCTAAATTACGTTGATATTACCCCAAGTCAAGCAGATTCCACTGAGTTGAAATCGAGTCACCTTGTGATTTTTGTGTAACGTGTACTGTTATCGCATCGGAGGGAGTCAAGTTGTATCGGACTAAGCCGATACCTTGAACCATGACCACCACCACACTGCTACCACCGCCACCATCACATTTCTTTTTTCATTGTTTTTTGGATTACAATCTAAATAAGTTTTACTGTTTTTTATTCCGCAGACTGTTTTTAGAATTATATAATTAAACAAGTTCTGCGACATAAAAAACACTAAATATACTTTTCTAAAACACTTTCCAAAAATAATTGTCAGATACTGATTTTTAAGACACAAATAAAATAGGGTCCTAATCTCTTCACTTTTTATTTCTAACCAAACAGAAATTTTCATCCATCCCTTCTATTCATCTATTATACTTTTTCATCCTTCTAGCTTTTTATTATACTAAATCGACAATTAGTTTGATATGAAATTTATGAAATAGACCAAATATCCTGCTAATCATTCAAGATATGTTTTTTTGTTGGTCAGTTTTCGAAAAATCTCTTCTTAAATACCACCTGTCGAAAAAATTCGTATTCCAAAACCGAAATCTTAGATCCATATCTATGAACACTCAAAAAAAAAAAAATACCATATCTATGCATCATCATGACCTACTACTTTCCAACTATTTAATAGTCTATGAATTTGGAAGTTATATTTATAATCTTAAAACACATGATATTTTAAATTTGAAATGTAGGCTTATGAATTTGAAAGTTATGATAACAATGTATGAGCTTGTCCATTCTCTGATTATAATGTTTTACCAACTTCACAAAACCAATCAACACAAGATCCAAGCCAATTAATTATACGTATTTCATGTGGCATAATCCAATCGCCCAAAAAAATTAAGAGAGGGCAAAAAAGTATTAATATTAAATACATATGGTTTCCATGTCATTATCGGGACCCTTGTGATTTCCAGTAATTCTCATTGGACCTATGTCTCTTTCACAAATAGGCTTGTCAACGAGGGGCAATACTATTGTGATCTAATTTATTATAATTTTTGAATTAAATATTAGAATTTAATGTTGATCCAATGATTCTTATGAAGTTACATCATTATGTCAATAAATTATGTCAGATTTTTAGATTCAAATAACATTACTCTAATACAAAATATGACAGACTTCAATAAGCTAATCTCACAGTCTCAACTAGACTCATCCAACGGCTACTAATATCCTTTTCAAAATCATTCAGATTTTATCGTCCTTTCAGACACGAATTACCTCTAATGTACATATAATTTAAATCGAATTCCAATCAATTCTGATCTTTTTTATTTTTTTTGACCAGAATCAAATCTGGTCTTGTTATAAGTAAGTTTGAATACTATACTTCGAATACAATTTGGTAGATTTAAATCAGATAATTCATAGAAAAATCAATCTATATTTGATTAATCAAATTAAAATTTTGATGGAATTTGAATCAAAATACAATCTATTGCTCGACCAAGTCGAAGACACCATCATCAACCATGTTCCGCAACTGTACACAATCTTCCCTTCTACGTAAAGTCTTAATTATATTAACCACTCCTGCAAGCTTCATCATACTTCTCAACCGACTGATTTACGCAACTCATCGCCCCCTGTCCACCAAGATATCTCAGCCCTCCGGGGCAATTATGTCAAATTAAAAATTGTCTGAATCCACCGACTGTGCACGTGACTGGAAATCTGTCAACCTTGTGGCATGCAGCCAAACGACGCCGTTATCTCAACACTACTATGATCTACACAGCCCAACACCCTAAGCAGTCCCCAAGAGCTTTTCCGGTCACTCCGCCTCACCGGAACTTTCTTTCCGGCGTCAGGCATAGTAAACATAGTCCCCGGATTCCGACGAAACTGCCGGTTCTTCATGTCCCGGAGATCCATCTCCGGCGGAAACTTTACAAGCCCAAACATCAAAGCATGCCACCTTGGTTTCAATAGCTTTATACCCCAAAACTCAAACTTTTCCGATCTTTTCACCGAGGAATTTCGATGAATTTCCGATGTATCGGAACTTAAGCTTGAATTTCTACGTAGTTTTTGGTAATCCAGAGACCGGCTACTCCTCATTTGGATTGTTTTTGTACTGTTGGATCGAGAAGTACTACTACTAGTCTTTAACTCCGGCGATGATTCCGATCGCCGACGACAAAAGCTTTGTGGTTTCCTGTCTTCTCCGGTGGGAGGTTTATGGGTTATGTTGGGGAGAGATTGTTCTTGGAGAGGTATGAGTTTACCGCAGAATATGATGTCTTCTGCATGAGACATCTCGGCATTGAGGTCGCTGAAGAACTCGAAGAAGTCGGTGGGTTGGGATGATGATCGGCGTTCTTTGAGTCTGGAAAAATCTTTGGCGTTGGGTTCATGGGTGGCTAGTGGAAGATTGCTGAGAGAAAGTGTCTCTTCCTCTTCTTCTTGATCTCCAAGATCGATTTTATCACCCATTTCTCAAAAATAGTAAGCGAGAAACCGTGGTTTATAATAGAGCATGCACTTGATCAATCTCTCCCCCACTCTCTCTCTCTCTCTCTCTATATATATATATATATATACGCATATATATGTGCATATATAAATATTATAATCGAAGATCTTGGGAGAAGAATAAAGGTTTAAGAGAAATGGACAATACCTAAACAATATCTTCTGGATTAAGATGAGATGGATGAAGGATGTACAGATACAAAACTTTGTACATGATCTCTATATTTTAAATGTTGATAATAAGAGATGAGGAGGAGAGGGGGTGCGGGGAGTAGAATAAGGGTGTATAACAAATGGACAATACCTGAACAATATCTTCTGGATTAAGATGAGAATCAGAGATGGATGGAATTGGAGGGCATATATATACAAAAACGTGTACAGAGAGAGAGAGAGAGAGAGAGAGAGAGAGAGAGAGAGAATACTGTTATTTGAACCCTTATGGTTTTTGGGGTGGAGTATTTTTTTTTTTGGATCATGATATAACATTTTGGTTTTCTTAAAGTTAGTTTCAAAAAGTGATCTCTGGTGGTTTCTTAAAGTTATTTTCATTTCGGGCTAACTTCTTAAAACAACAAAAGAGAGAATAAAACACACAGAGAAACACGATCAAAACGGAAAAAATATTAGTTGAAAGAGTGACATCATATGATATTATAACAGAGTAAATAATCTTGACCATTGATTTTATTGTAGGTCCATTATTTATTGCGACCCACTACTTATTCAATGGTCGAGATTATCAAATTTAATTTTTAAGTCTATGTAGCATTACTCTATAATATAATGCCACTAATTAATGATGGAATATAAAGTGAATTTAGTAGAGTATGTTATTTTACTAAGTACCAATAACTTGTTTTATAATTGGTCAGTGACACCGTATCACACTAATAACATGATTTTACCGTTTCTCCCAATATTTACCCATGAAAGGTACAAGCTTTATTATAATTTTTTTATATATTTTATATCTCGAAAGATTTTAAGATTTTTACTTTGTACCTTCAAAGATTTTACATTGTATTTTCAATGTATCAAAAATGTTATAATGTGATCATTTTATTAGCTTTTATTATTTTTTTTTCGTCAAAAGTCAATTTATTGACATTGACAAAAAAACTAACAGAAGAGTCACATTGCAATATTTTTGATATATTAAGGGTACGACGTAAAAAATTTAATCTTTAAAGGTACAAAATGAAAATCGTAAAATTTTTCAAAGGACAAAATATAATTGGCCCAAAATTATATATCGAGTTGTAAATATGGAGCGAGACTTGTAATAAATGGTTAGTTTAGATATTCTTGTCCAAAGAGAAAGAGAAAGAGAAAGAGAGAAAGAGAAATATAGAGATACGTGTTAAATGGAGAGAAATATAGAGATACGTGTTAAATGGATCTATTTTTTATTTAATTTTATTCAATAATTAAAATAAAATCCATTATTTATAAGTGAATTGCTCACCTAGATGAACAATCTACCAAAATTAAATAAAAGAGTAATACAGAGAATCTATCCGCTAAATGGCGAGTACTTGAAAAAGGTTTCTGCTAGGACTCGAATCATCTTGATTTCAAATTAAATGTTGGTCAAGTAAATTATCGGCCATTAACTTCATCATGTGTCATTTGTTGGTTTTTGTGGATCTCATTGAGATTGGGCGAGATTTAGTAAGGTTATGGACAAAGACAAATAGTTGAGTTTAATTTAGATGCATTAGGAATTTAGGATGGATCTAATCTTGTCACAACGCCCAAATTACTCTACCATGATTAGACATCGCAGATTCGAGTCATTAAAATAATATATATATATATATATATATATATATATATATATATATAATAAAATAGTTTACAATTCAAATCTCAAAAGATAAATAAAATGACTTGTGCTATTTGTAGTTGAGATCGTTTTGAATTTTACTTTAAAATTAATTTAACGGCTAATATTAACACCTTAAATTTAATAGAAAAATAAGGCCCTAAGAATATGTTTGGAGTGACTTTTTTAAAGTACTTCTAGAAATTATTTCTCATAAATACTTAAAAATAATAGTGTTTAAAACTACCCTACCACTACTTCTACCACCACTGCCTCCACCACCACCACCACTGTCACCACCACCCACCGTTGCCACCGCCACCAGCATCATCACCGCTCTCATTGCCACCACAGTCATTGTCACCTACCACAACCATCACTATCTCCTACCACCACCATTGTCGCTCACCCCCCACTATAAATCGATATATAAATTCATTTTTTTTTTTTATATTTGTGATTTGATTTTAGTTATAAATACAAATATGTTTGTTATTTATCATTTTTTATTACTCTGTGCTTTTAGGCACAGAAACTAACTAGTATATATATAGATATACAGTTAGACAAACCCAAATTCCGTGCATTATACTTTTTTTTTCAACGATGGACCTGGTGTACTGATCCTAAGAACAGTAAGGAAACAAAAACTAATATGCGATTGATGAAACTCGACCTAGATTATGCGAGGAGAAGGGCCACTGCTTAAGCCTAGGCCATACCAATTATGCACATAAATTAACAAAATTAGTCATTAACGTGGTTTTTGTCCTTTGTCATCTATATGTTCGCCACATGCTATTGTTGACACCAACATATCACGACCACACAACCAACGAATATCCGACTTGTGTGACTAAAAAACCAAGCAAGTGTGACAAGTACTTTTGCCACACTTTTACTGATCGTAAAGAGCTGGTAACTCCAAACTCTTTGATCCTACGCGATTGTCTAAGGTCAATATCTCATGATATTTCTAACTTCTTTAATCATCTCAATTAATTTTTGTCAAAAATGCGAAACTAATGCAAATTATTAGAGTTCAAAGCAAGACATATTATAAGAAATTGCACTTTTAGCCATTAAATTTAGATGACAATTAAAAATATTGTCACTGAATACATATGTTTAGCGATAAAAAAATATTATTACCATTGAAGGTATGATATTGAAATTATTTAGTGATCATAATTATTTGTTACCACTAAAGATATATAATTAGTGGTGAAAAAGTATTGTTGTCAGATAAAATATGATAGTGAATCTAGTTAATGACAATTTAAATGTTGTAACAAAAATATATTACTAATTCGTCACTAATTCTAATTATTTAATGACAACAATTTAAATTTAGTCACTAATAATATAAAATATTAGTGATAATATTTTTTACTTTCAGCAAATATGCCCTAATTTTAGTCACATTTTTTTTTTTTTGCCACTGTATATCAATTTTAGAGAATAAGTTGCCACTTAACCAAAAAAACCAGAAATTTGTTTTTCATATAAGACGAACTATATACCCTTTTTTTAAATATTTGCCCCAACTCCCTTGTTTTTCGTTCAAGTTCTCTTTGGGTGTGTTTGGATAGGATAGGATTTTTCTTTTTTCATATCCTAACTCATCCAACCCAAACCCATTCACCTACTTTAAAATCCAAGGTTAGGGAGTATATCCAATCCACACCTTTGTTGGGAAAACAAATGTATAATTGTGTGGGCCTCATAGATTTTGTAATAGTTTATCATTCTTCTCATGATTCTACCCAATCCAATCCAATCCTATGTTTGGATTGGTGGCTTATCCAAAAAAAAATTAAACATTTTCTACATATATATAATAACATATATACATTAAAATATTAATATATATATTTTTTTGGTAGAAAATTGAAGAATTGATATAAGAGTAGACAAAGTATATTAGATCCAAACAATTGAATATAAAATCCAAGTATCTAGTAATGTGTTACTAGCAAAACTAGATTCGATCAATCTCAAATAGGTCTACTAACATATATTGATCAATCTCAAATAGGTCTACTAACATATATTAATTCGTAACAGTTACATTAGATATATGTAATTGTAATAAATGTTACCTTATACAAAAATACACAAAAACATAAGGCAACATGGTTAATATTCGTCAACAATAACAAGTCAAATTAATGTTGTCTTATATAATACATAACAAAATGAGACAATATCTATATAATAAAACAGGAGTGTGTTTGAATTTTATCCTAGTCATATTTTCTCTCTCAAAACCATCACCAATCACTTATTTCACCCATCATCCATTTGTCAGACTCAAATATCAAATCACATCACTCATTTCTATTACATATTTAATTATTTATATATTTTTTTCCTAAAAATATCATATCACTCATTTCTATCATATATTTAATCATTTAATATTTAATTAATTTGTAGTTAATATATTTAGAAAAAATTTAATATAGTGGGATCAATTTTTTGGACACTTGAATTTTATATGAAGGCACGGGTTATAAATACACCCTGATTAATATTCAAATTTTTGTTACATGACAACCAACGATGTCAATCATCATCAATAGCTATGATATCCACTTTCCTCCTCGAGTTTACTAATGGGCTTGATCCAACACTGCTATCAATGTGTTGTTGGCTGGAGGTTGGTCTATCGTTCTTCAAAATAACTTCCAATAATTGAAAGTTTGGATAAGGATTCAAACAATAGTTACAAGCAAAGCCATCATCCTACAATAATTTGAAGTGAAAATATAGAACCATAACATTAGCAACATGTATGAAAAATAATACATTTTCTATTGAGACCAACATCAAACCAATTAATTGAAACAACTTGTATGGAATCCAAATCACCAGGCATTGAGCTTTCAACTACACATGTACTCTATGTGTCCCAGGCAAATATGCCATTATTCAACATCTTAGTAATGGTATTATATTGGTGCTCCCATAAATGATTACCCTCAACACCTCACTCATAGAGAGATAAAACCTTGGTATCCTTCGTCGCAAACATGTTAACATTGCATCAAGCAGTCTTTCTGAATACCTGCCTATGAGTGGTAATTTCCCTCGATACTTAAAGTCAACTAATAAGTCTAGCATCACATCAAC